GAGCTCAAAGATTTGAATCGCCAGTTTATTCATAAATCAAAGGTAAATATCATGTACTATGAGTTATTCCTGTTTTCCTAATGTCACATAGTAATATAATTTTTTTTTCTCTTTTCCTCCCAAAATGTTAGAGGGAAAAAGAATAGTTTCTTTCCCCTGTTCTTACATATGTATTTCTTCTAAAACATAGTTCAACCAAAATGACAGTTTATCATCATTTACTCATCTTCATGTTATTCCAAACCTGCATGACTTTCATTCTTCTGCTAAACACAAAAGAAGATATTTTGAATAATTTTGGGAACCATTGGAGTCGCTTGACTTCCATTGTATGGGCATACAATTTATGTTACACAGAAGAAAGTAAGTCAATAGCATTTTTTTTATCTAATTTGTTTTTCTTTATGTATTGGTTCTTTCAGCTTACAGGTTACTTCATAAGCCTTGTCTTAAGTGTATTAACAATAACCTTAATGGTTATTTATGACTGCCACATAAGTGGGAAACGTGACTTCGGCCCAAAATACTGCAGACAAACAGCAGGGACACAGACTGAGGAACAAGGTAGGAGAAATTTTCAAGAACAGAGTGGAGAATTAAACTCTGTAACTCTTTGTTATTTTGCCTCATACTTCCATCACTGCAGAGCCATAGAATGCTTATTTTTTTTCTGGGTTAAACCAGACCCGGATGCATTATGAGGTATATTAAAAATGTAAGGCTTAAATACAATTAACTGGAAATGACTGCAAATGATTATGTTGTATTCAATGTGGTTTTGATATTTACAGTTTTCCTGTGTATGTCCAATAGGTTCTGCTACAATGGGACAGGAACTACAAGTGTCAGGGAGTTTTGCTACAACGGGACAGCAAGAGTCATGGAGTTCTGCCTCAATGAGACATAAACAACAAGGGGCAGAGGGTTTTGCTGCAGCGGCATGGCAATTAGACAGTTCTGATACAGTGCGACAAGAAAAGAAAGGGTTAGGGAGATCTGCTCTAGCAGGACATGGACAACAAATGTCAGGGAGTTCTGCTACAATGGGTTCTACTACAATAAAACCAGAA